AACGCAACTGACAAAATAACCTTTTCCTGAGTTGTATTAATGTATACCACAAAAAACTCACTTGCAGAGTAACAGAAGGAGTCAAATACAATTCAAAGCTGTTAAACACACATGCCTCATCTGTAGTCACCAGGTGGCACCAGATGTATCCATATATTGATAATCACCTTCAACTGTAACCCATGCTGTCTTTGAAATGGAAAGCACATTATGTATGGATATTAGGTAGAGCTCAATAGCTGAGTGGACAGTAGATCAGAGAGTTTACATTAACAAGATCTCACTGTTGGGTTTTGGTTTTGTTTGTTTTTTTGGGTTGGTTGGTTTTTTTTGAGGAGGATGTATTACAGAGTAAGATTCAGTAGTATTTCCTAATTTTGAAGATATTGGTTGGAAAACTTTTCAAAAAATGCAAAAAATGTATTATTTTAACTAAATGCATTGATTCTTGGTCAGAATAATTATATTTTTATATTTTCCCCTTTTATTTTTAAAGATTTAAATGTTTGAAGAACTAAATTTTGGAGAAAAATCAATTCTTTCAAAAGATACATTTCATTTGTCCTGAAGAACTGTAGCTTTCTGTTGATACAAAAGGACTTTTTTTTCTGGCTTTCTGAAATTCTCAATGAGCTCTTGAATTATGCAGGAAATCCTATGTTTAAAAATTCTTTCGTTTTACAAATATAATTATATTATTGTGTGAGGGTGAAGCTGAAATTACCTATGCATCATACATAGTATATTATCTCGTTAACATAAAAAATGGTGAGACCTAATACATTCACTTGTAAATCATGAATCATATCAGTTTTTTTCTGCATTTGAACATTCATAACTTTCATCACTAATTAAATATTTGTGAATCTAAACTGTTTCTTGAGCTTGGCAGTATTTAGCATTTCTATTATTCCCTATTATCTGCCTCCTCTGCGAATAACTTCTCATCAGTGGAAAAAAAAAAAAAAAAAAAAAAAAAGAGCAGAAGGGTGAAATCTTGACCTCACTGAATCAAGGGCAAAACTTCCAGTAACTTCAAGGGGCCAGGATTTTACCAGACATGACTAGCTTTACACAAAGAAGGAAAACCAAACAGGCAAAGATACCATATTATCATTAGCAGAGAGTCTGAAAATGAATCACCATCTCAATAATACGGCAAATGTTTACAAATAAAAGTAATCAAAAAAGTCAAGTTGTAGTTAAAAAAAGTCAAGTTGTAGTTTGAAATAGTTTCAAAAGGAACTTGATTCTCCAGGGGAAAGAAGTATCTTTCTGTCTAAACACTGAAAATATAAATTTTAGTATATAATTCTAAGCATTCAGATTTTATATCTTTAGTCTACTGTAATGATTTTTCAGCCAGCAGGTACTTTTGATTATATTAAATATACACAATTGTATCTGCTTCATTGCAGCATTACTGCAAAAAATGTAATCCACATTCACATTCTCTTCAGCGTGATCTGTTCCTAAAAATGAACCAATGTGATTATCTACACATATGATGTCCATAGAAGCTGAACGGTTGTTGGGGTCCCTCGTGCAAACAACAGCATGGACGTGTAAATTATCTACTTGTTTAAAGACCATTTTTTGCAAGCACTGGCTCGCAAGTAATATTTGCATTTGCAATGGGCAAGCCTAGCCTTGTACAGACACAACAGGAGATGTCTCTGTTCAAATGACTCGTGATTATTCTTCATGCTTCACAGTAATGGGAAGACCCTCAGCAAGTGCAACCAGGGAAGCCAAAGAAGAGAAAGAGAACCAGAACTCTTCATGCCAGCCAGCAGTGGAGTCTGGCACTGAAACAACATGCTTAAGCTCCAGCCAAGGCAGCTAACCTCTAGTTTGGAGCAAAGCAGTTTGTGGCTAATTTAACATTGTAGTATGCACCCAAAAAGGCAGCTTTTGTCTGCTATAGCATGAAGCTCACCTAAACCAAGTTTTACTATTTGTATTCAAGTGTTTCTGTTACAGTAGCTGTGGCACATACCAAAATGTAGTCCTGAAAATCTAAAGAAAAGCCTAAAATGTAGGCATCTAGTGTAAGGTAAATTTGTAGACACTAGCTAGTCCAAGAAGTGGTTTACGGCATCTTAAGACAAGTAATTAAGAAAGACAGCATGAGTTGCTCTCCAGGGATCTCCTTTTTTCTCCATTGGCAAGGGGAGCCCAGGCAGCCAGATCACAGATGAGACGCAGCTTTGGATGGCTACCATCAGGTGAGATGAACTCCACTCTGCAAACGGCAACTTCCACTACAGAGGCTGGAGAATGGAGACCCAGGTGGGTTAACTGGCTTGGCCCAGGGCTGTGCACTGAGCCTTCCGGGTCCTGGTATATTGCACTGGGAAATTCCCATACATTGAGTTCTCATCTGCACTATCAGTTCAGAAATAATGAAACAAGCCAAACATAAAGTGAATTTAGTTTTCTTCCCTTTCTCTGACAGAAATCTGTTGTCATTATAAAGGAGCTCTGCTTTTGCTTTCTAGAAGAGAAGGCAGACACATGCATTTGTACCTACTATATTTCTTCTTTCCATAACAAAAAAAGCATAGAATTCATGTTATTTCATCAGCAAAAATTATACTCTTTAGCTATTATCTGCAATTCTATCCATAGCAAGTACATTATACCGTAATTAAAGTATATTGTATGCATTATCTGTGAAAGGGCTGTAATCATTTTAACATACTATTCATTGAAATACATTAATACAGTACCTATAATACATGAAAATTGAAATAGATGAAAATACAGCATTGTAACTATTGTTAAGCTTTTTCTTCCTGGAAGAGTCCTAGGAATATCAGAATTTATGGTCTATGTTATCCTGTCTCCTCTAGTTTCTTAAACAGAGAAGGATATGCAAGAGGCTAGCTACCTCCTAGACACAGAATCATAGACTCACAGAATGGTTTGGGTTGGAAGGGACCTTAAGGATCATTTAGTTCCAACCCCCTGCCCTGGGCATGTCTCAAGGTGGTGCGAGGGGAAGCACAGTAGGTATCACATTCATCATGAATAAGACTGTATGTAATGTTTTTTTTCCTTTGAGAGAAGAAAGAGAGAAAGTGAGAGGAGTTTGTACCTTCTTTGCTGTACTTTATACGACGGATGACTACTAGAGATAGGGCTGAAGTTCTGATTAATTGGGTCGTGTCTCTCAGTGTTGCCTTGCTAAGTTGGGCAATGGTGACCTCCACAGGAAGGGGTTGAAACCTTCATTGACTTTAAAGGGAGTTTCATAATTAATTCAAATGGACCACATCTTACCACTATTATTCTCTTTGGAATGATTTGCATCTTTGAATGATGAATGATTTCCCACAAATATCTGCAGGAATAATTAGAATCACAGAATTGCTGAGGTTGGAAGGGACCTTTAAGATCATCAAGTCCAACCATTAACCTACCCTGACAAAACCCCTTCTAAACCATGTCCCCAGGTACCACGTCTACCCTTTTTATAAACACCTCCAGGAATGGCGAATTCACCACCTCCCTGGGGAGCCTATTCCAATGTTTAATAACCCTTTCAGTGAAAACATTTTTCATAATATCTAATCTAAAACTCATCTGACATAACTTGAAAAGTAATTAGACTATGGAAGAGCTGACTGTTAAGGAGATCTTAATGTTACCATACAAGAGGTCTCACATGCAGAACCTAATTGTTTTATCAGCTTCTAGATTTTCCTGAGTTTATAACGGACGTGAAGCTCTAACTTGAAGAAGTATAACTTTTATTACTGCGCGTACTTCCAAGAAGGGTGTTTTGTGCATGATCAGTTAAATGTGAACCCAATTCTGGCTTTATACAGAAGGCAGTTAACAATTCCCTCAGCTGTCAGTGGAAAACCTTGCTATTCAGGCTGGGGGTAAGAAGGATGCAGGATGTTTTTACCCTTTCTTATTGGAAACTAGATCTCATGTGACCTAACTACATTAAACTGATAAGCCTTGTGGGCCTGTGAAGATTTGACTGAATGACAGATATGACCTTGACAGGTCTGAGAAGGGGGCACCATGTGAACCTATGAAGTTCAACAAGGCCAAGTACAAAGTTCTGTACATGGCTCAGGGCAAGCCCCGGTACCAATACAGGCTGGGGGATGAAGGGATTGAGAGAAGCAGCCCTGCCAAGCAGGACTTGGGGATACTGGTGGATGAAAAATTGGACATAAACTGGAAATGGGCATTTGCAGCCCAGAAAGTCAACTGTATCCTAGGCTGTACAGCAAGAAGTGTGGCCAGCAGCTCGAGGGAGGTGATTTCCCCCTGTACTCTGCGCTCATGAGACCCCACCTGGAGTACTGCATCCGGCTCTGGGGCCCTCAGCACAAGCAAAGACATGGACCTGTTGGAGTGGGTTCAGAGGAGGGCCACAAGAAATGATCAGAGGGCTGGAGCACCTCTCCTGTGAGGACAGGCTGAGAGAGTTGGGGTTGTTCAGCCTGAAGAAGAGAAGGCTCCAGTGAGACCTTATGGCAGCCTCTTATTATATACAGAGGGCTTATGAAAAAGAGAGAACCAAGGCCTGCAGTGACCGGACAAGGGGCAGCACTTGTAAACTGGAAGAGCGCAGCTTTAGATTGGACAGAAGGAAGACAGTTTTTTACAATGAGGGTGGTGAGGCACTGGAACAGGTTGCCCAAAGAAGTTGTGGATGCCCCATTGCTGGAAGTGTTCAAGGCCAGGTTGGATGGGGCTTTGTGCAACATGGTCTAGTGAAAGATGTCCCTGTCCATGGCAGGGAGGTTGGACTAAATGATCTTTCAATGTCTGTTCTGACCCAAACTATTCTATGATTCTGTGATGTCTAAACACAAATGAATACAATGCATACAGAATCAAAGTCATTGATTTTTTTATTTTAAATACTTATGTGCAAGGATGATAGTTGGTTTTGTTTTTCTTTTTGCTTACTCCCTTTGCACAATCATTTTCATTAGAGTAGACTGCAAACCTAGAGAAAATCCTGCACATACCTGTTTCTCCCCACTGGGCTTCTTGTGGTTTAAGAGCAGCTCCACAGCACCAACTACCTCCTTTCGTATGGCATGCAACAGAGCGTCTCCCACATATACATTAAAACTTAAGAGCAGCTCAATGAGCTCAAGGTTCTCATTTTCAATTGCAATAAGTAGTGCAGTTCTTCCCAGGGGATCAATGCAATTAATATTGATCTTGAAATAAATTTCTGCTTCCTCCAAAGCTTTCTTTACACTGGCATAATCTCCTTTCTCCACGGCGTTCAGATAGGCTTTCTCTGAATGAGACAGTTCAGATTCCGCCCGTACAATACGAAGAGGAATACGATCTCTGTAGGGAGCATTAACGCTTCTTTTGTAGTAGAACTGGGCCATATTTTATGCCATTCTAATACTTTGTCTCTGCAATATGAAAAGAAAGATTAAATCAATAATGTATTTTGGGGATACAGTGCACCAAATTAATATTTGCAATATATAAGCATTTAAAACTCAAACTAAAAAGCGATGTTGAAACAAGTACAAATGGTCTGTATCAATAGAACTTGTAAAATCACCAGCAAAACATGGAAACCAAGACATATAACCAAGTTGTTGCAATGTACCAAGTCACGGCATATATGTCAGCATATCATTTGGTGGTATGTATTCCTTAAACCTGTGGCAAGCAGGAGGTGATATGATACAATGTAGTTTGCACCAAATCTGCAGCTCATACTTCATTCTTAATTCCTTCATCAAGTTCCTCTACCTCATGTTTCCCACAGCTTAAGAGCACAGCTCATCCACAGTTGCTGCTGCTCAGTAGACTACAGGACGCTTACACCTTTTCAGCTTGATTGTGGTAGTGGTTATGTCACTAAGAGACTGGTCCAGTTGCCTGTCTAAGGTACCTAGGCCTCTCTGAGATGCACCAGTTATCTCATCTGCCCTCCAGCATGGCTTGGGTCTTTCACAAGGCCTGTGCACAGCTGGTACCTCCATGAAAATGTCGCTGATATCCTATGCAACCCAGGCATCACTCCATGATTGTGTGTGGACAACTAAAGACAGCCCTTCTTATCTGTTTCTTTAGCTTGGGCAGAAAGAACATGTTAGAGTTGGAACAGATATTAGCATTTACATCTTTCCAGTGCTGCTGAAATACCTTGACTTGTCTGTGGCAGGCACAGATTGCACAGTTCAGTGGTGAGCTTTCCTACTAAGATTTTGATTCAATCTCATATGCTATTAGAAAAACAGTCATATAAAATGCTTTTCCAACCAGCACATACTAATGTATAAATTAGACTTCAGAGCCTAAAAGGAAAAACAAAACCTCAATGAGATAAATTCCCAAGGACCAGTAGAAAATAATCATGGCTTTGATTTTGAACTATTCAGTTCTAAACTAGAATTAATACTGAAACACTGCAACTATAAAAAAACTCTGAAGTCTTACATATAATAAAGCATTTAATTCCTCCGCTTTTACTCTTTATACTTGCAAGGACTTTGCAAAAATAATTCCTTCTAACAGGCTGATTTTCTCCTGGCCCTATCTTCTACCTAAAAGAAAAAAAAAAAAAAAAAAAAAAGAGAAAAGAGAGAAGAGGGAAGAGAAAAAAATTTACGTAAAAGAACAGGGTACAAAAATATTTTCTTCAATTAAGGGCTGAACAGCTTATTAGTCAAAGAACTGTAGTTTCTTGTCATTTTCTCAGCTGACGATGCAATTTGCGGTAACCCACTGCCTTTTCCTCCATTTTCTTCAAGAATTAAAAAAAAGTCTCTGTTGAGATCCTAATTTGCAAAAAATAATATATATTTTTAATATTGTGAGAGTTTGCTTCATCAAAAATTTCACAAAATACTGTGAGGAACATACTAATTCATTTGTTCCAGTCTCCTTACGCAGTGTGATGAGAGGTAAGTACAAAGGCTGTTACTGAGTTGTTTTCTTTGTATTTTAAAGCTGATCAACAGGGCTTGAGGCAGGCAGGAAACAGCAAAGGAGACACATTAGAAAGAATTCCCCTCCAGACCCATGTACAGGAGATGAGCAATTGTAATCCCTTGCAAAAAGTTTCCCAATTCGCCCTCCAAGATGGTGCCAGTCTGCAGTCTGGGCTGCTAGAGTTTGCACAGGCTGTGCATTATGTTCTGTTAATCTCACTCTAAGTAAAATCAAGTATATGCACATTACACAGTTTTGTATCCCTGGAACAGAGTTATCACATTCTTGTTGGTAGCACACTGTATTTTACCAGTTTGCCTTTCAAAATTGCAAGCTCAATTCAAGAAGAATAAAGTGTCTTGTACGTTCAGCTCCAAATTAACAAGACTTAAATGTAGATGTGCACAAGTAGGTATCTACAAGAAAGGGAGGTTGCTATATTCCCATTATAGCCATGGAAATTTAGGGCTCCATTCTGCCGCTCACAAATTATCATCTGGTGCTGGATTCTGAAGGGCATCCCGCCTGACTCCAGCTGCTATTTCAGAATGACTTATTTCTGAGAATGGGTCTATTTCATATCTGTCAGGCAGATGTTGGGTTAACCCACAACAATGCATAAATATTATTCAGTTTCTTAATATCTACAACAAAGACTTCCTCAAGACCCCTGGAGAAAATTGAGTGACTGCAACTGGGAGGTTATTGCTAAAAGCTCCTCTCTCTGAAAGCTCAGGAATTAATAAATGGATTGTTGTCTCCCCATGTATTGGGAGTTAAACCAGCAATTAACTTGGATCAATGAAATTGGGCATCACAGAGATGCTTATGGTAGAAGAAGAGTACAGTGATTTACAGATGGGATCTATTATGATTTCATTAGGATGATTGGGGGGGGTGTGTGTTCTTTGTTTTTGTAAGTCTGGGGAAGGTCTATTATTGCTTCATTTTAAGCCCTAAGGAAAGCACTTGCTGGAACCTCTTGTGTTTACCTCTTCATGATTCTTGAATGGGCAAAATTAGATCTAAGCTTAGTTTGCCTTTTTTGGAAGAGATACATTAAACACACATTGTCATTCTTCTAAACAGCTGTCCTCTGCTAGTCTTCCTCTCTTGCCTGTACCACTTCCTGAAAGTAATCAGCCATAAATAAATTGTTGTCGTAAAAAAAAAAAATATGTTTACACGCAATTAGAAAGTAGAGATTGATTGCTGATACAGTGCACTCCTGGAAGATGATATATACATCAAAGATACGGTTCATGTGTGTTTATAAAAAAAACCCAAAACACCAACATTTATTTTGATTTTATCTACAGGTAGATGGTGTTGCATGACAACTGATACTGTGCTGTCACATGTAAATGTATGCATGTGAGAGACTTCCACAGGCACACCATGAGAGCTGTAAGAGCTAGGAGTAGCCAGCAGATAAGGAAGTCTCCATTTGCTTTGAGTTCCTCTGCGGGAACAAGAGTCTAAAGAAGCAAGAGGTCCAGTACACTAGACTGGTGCAAGGGGAATGAAAGAAAATAAACAATTTGTGGTGCAAAACTTAGAAAAAGTGGAATTATAATTTCCACAGAGTCCGTACACCTGATACAGAATAAAAATACTTCAGCGAAGAGGAAAAGAAAAAATAACTTGCCTTGAAAATAGGAATATAATAACCCATCAGAAACTCAGTATAACCAGAAGCCAATAAACACCATTTGACAGATTGTACCTGAGACATCCAAATACTCAGACTCACGGGGCTCAAAGTCATATCCTGGAAAAAATCTTTTTGTCTCTCTATTGAAATTGGTGAGGAGAATTAGGGACTGAGAAGGAAGTTCAAGACAAAGAGAAGAACTGATCTTCAATATTGTTCTGCTCTTGCTTGTCATCCCCATAATTCTGACTGGGTACATTTAAGATGTGCCATAACTAACGCAATTTATTCAGCATTTGGAGGAACCCTCTCTGACTTGAGGAAGAACATATAATGGATTTGGTAAACCAAAATAAATTGTTTTGACCAGTTTGGAGAAATATCACAATATCATCTTTCTATGTAATCTGTGGGTTGGTTTGTATTTTTGGAAGGAAAAACAAACTATTACCACTGGCTTCGCAAGACATTTGATGATTCCTCTGAACCCACTGATAGCAGTGAAAATTACTACTGCTTTAAGAAGTGACAGTACATTGATCAGTATTCTGATCTACTAATCCATGCTCTATTAATCCAGATAAGGGACTTAGTTATTGCACCTACAATAAAAGAGCTAAAACTTAATAATATCAAGATTTGCAAGGATGAAACTTATTCTTTAAGACACTTTGTATGAAGAGATTATATAAGATACAATGTCTATGGAATACCTGAATAACTAGGACCCAGCATGCAGAGAATATTTTGAAATTGTGGTGACTAACTGTAAACCCAGCTGTGAAATGTTTTAGGAATAAGATTTATGCTAGAAAAAAAAGCCTCACTGCATGCAAAAGGAAGAGGTATTCATTTCCAAATAATCTTTACGAGATAATTACATCATAGCTGAAAATATATCTGTTTTGAAAGTGCATGTTTCTCCAAATAGAGTTAAAAACCAATAAAACACTTAGCCTAACTTTCCCACAACTAGAAAAAACAAACCAGCATCAAATAGGGTCAGCTAGTTGGGTGATGAAAGGATTAAGAGCAGCCCTGCGGAGAAGGATCTGGGGATGCTGGTGGATGAAAAGGTGGCCATGAGCCAACCGAATTCTGGGCTGCATCAGAAGCGTGGCCAGCAGGTGATTCTGCCCCTCCACGCTGCGCTCATGAGACCCCACCTGGAGTACTGCATCCAGCTCTGGGGCCCTCAGCACAAGCAAAGACATGGACCTGTTGAAGTGAGTCCAGAGGAGGGCCACAAAAATGAACAGAGGGCTGTAGCACCTCTCCTATGAAGACAGGCTGCGAGAGTTGGGGTTGTTGAGCCTGGAGAAGAGAAGGCTCCAGTGAGACCTTACAGCATCCTTCCAGTACCTAAAAGGGGCCTACAGGAGAGCTGGGGAGGGACTTTTTGTCAGGGAGTGTCGTGACAGGATGAGGGGTGATGGTTTTAAACTGAAAGAGGGTAGATTTAGATTAGATATTAGAAGAAATTCTTTACTCTGAGGGTGGTGAGGCACTGGAACAGATTGCCCAGAGGAGTTGTGAATGCCCCATCCCTGGATGTGTTCAAGGCCAGGCTGGATGGGGCTTTGAGCAACCTGGTCTAGTGGGAGGTGTCCCTGTCCCTGGCAGGGAGGTTGGACTAGATGATCTTTCAATGTCCCCTCTGACCCAAACCATTCTATGATTCTACGTTGACTTTATGATTTTCTTTATCAGTATTTGCAAATATGCTATTCATCACCAAGCTAGCTCTATAAATTACAGAACAAATATTAACAAAAATATTGAATAATTTTATATACATTATTATAAAAAATA